AGGAGCATGGGCCAAAACCCAAGGGAAATGGGCCAAGATTGGGCCGAGACAGATCAACCCACCAAGGCTCCAGATGGACTTCACGAAGAAAAATGCCCAAGTCAAGTTGCAGAGGCAACACCTACAGCGGTGAAGTTGCGAAGGAAACATGTGCAGCGGCAAAGTTGCTAAGGCACTTTGCCTCAGCGCCGCCATTCCTAATATCTTCGGTTCCGCCGCCATCTGAAGTTACTAAGGAAAAGAGAAAGCCGACTCAACTAAGTTGTAAAGACAACACTTGCGACGACCAAGTTGGGAAGAGTGCCGCCATTCCAAGTATCTTTGGCATCGCTGCCTAGGGGTGGGCGCGGGTCGGTTGCGGCCACGAAACTCCAATCCGCCATCCATCTGCCAGATTGGCGGATTGAAGAAAATCAATCTGCATCCGTCTGCCAATTCGGCAGATGTGGATTGAGCAGATTGGCGGTTTGGCAGATGGATGCGAATCAGTTTGGCGGTTTAAAATTTTATAAATTTTCAACATAATTCAACTTGTGCACTTCCTCAAAAAAAAAAAAAAAAAAGAGTATTACAGTCAATGACTTAAAAAAGTATTACAATCACTGTATGTCTTATCTAAAGAAAGAAAGTTTAAAACTTTAGAATATCACGATCACTGCATGTCTCATCTACATATTACAATCACAGCATGATTTATTCACATAAAGTATTACAATCTGTGGTTCTTAAAATATAATAACAATTCAAACCACCAAGACCATGAACAGAGTAGTAGTAGAGATTGCATGTCTCTGTATTGTTACATCTATATATGTTTTTATGATTGCAGATCTATTCACAAAGGGATTGCTACCAAAGACATATAAAGAGTATGTTATCAGGATGGGTCTTTTAAGCAACCCATGATGTGTATGGTTAATCTTGAGTGCTTATTTTTATTTTGACACTGCTAGTGTGATAATAATTTTGTTTCTATTGTTCCTGTTCTAAAAGTGTGTGTACACATTAATTTGAATATTGATAAACAGGAAATGTCTTAACAAGACAAATTCAGGAGATTTTCAGGCAAATAATTATATATCCCAATAATGGACTGAGTTAGTAAAGGTTATTGATGGTGTGGTGTATAGAAGGAACTATGACATAAATGTTATATAACCGCTATGACTCACATTGGTGATCTGAAATAATCACAGTATTATAATTTTTAATATATCTAAACTTATTGGCTACTTTTAAAATTTCGTGATCACGTGTCAAAATTTTGAGTGTGGAATCCAATGAGTCAAAATTTTTGTAAATTGCATATTTTGAAAAAAAAAACCTCATAGTTACATCATAATCGGTTTAATGGGCCAAGTGAGAGAATGTTGGATTTTATTTTCTAGTGTGGCCCAATAGCCTACATATCTTTAACATGTTTTATTTTATTTGGACTCCACAACTAGATAAAACTAATATTTGAGATGAAGTTCAGTAATTAGAATTTTAAATATGAGATAATTACTCTTCTAAGATAAGAAGGAAATCTTCATGGACAGAAATTCTTCTAATAGAGTTTATCTGGCCTTCTTCTCTTCTCTATATTAGGATAGGTGACTTCCCTTACATAATATGAGTATTTTTCTATCACTCTAAGTTTTACAGTCATCCTAATTAAGAAAGAGAAAGAAGAATGTGAGCCAAGAATTCTAGGTTCAACTATTAGGGGTATTTTCTCCACTTTTCTAATTTAATGGCTAACAAAGGTATGCTCGTTTTATTCTTGAGTTGTATTGAATTCAAGATCTTACAAAATTTAATTCCGCATTATTATTATGGTTGCATGTACATTAATTTCTTATAGTATATTCTTTAATGATTAAAGTAAAAAAATGACCAAATATAAAATAAGCCAAGTGTAACTCACCTTTGATATTATGATAAAATTGTGTTCTTAAATTTTTTTGTACTACAAAATAATATGAATTATCATTGAAATGATGGTATTGACCACTTTAGTAAGTTGTTTAAAAGTTTAATTTTTTTAAATCACATCACCTTTTTATTTTTTTATATATTTTAAATAAAATTTAAAAAATTAACTTTTAATCTCTTCACAAAACAAACCATTCCCTCTCTTTTCTCCACTTTCCCTTACGACTGTCATCCCTCCTCCACCTTAGCTTGTAAAAATCATCGCCATAGTCACATGTGAGAGACACAAGAAGAATGCAATAGAGATAGAAAGAGTGATCACGAGTGGGAAAAATAGGGAGATCTAAGTTTCAGAGTCAGATAAAGATGTTCTCCTTCTGAATTGGAACAGGAAAAATTCATTCATGTATTTTCAAGCTTTACAATCACATAGAGCTAAATAACTATAGGTATTATAATGGGAGGAGGGTTTTCTCAATCCATTTCAATTTAAAGCAGTAGACAAGGGATCCAAATATATAATTATTAATATATCATCAATTTAATTTTATAATAAAAAATTTATACTAGAGATAGGAAAGGTTTCAAAACGCTGAAATAGATTCAAAATAAGTCTCTAAATCATAAAATTAGATTGCTTTTAACCCTTAATTTTAAGGGTTGGTTTGACAACCCCAATATAATTCAAAAAATCAAAAAGTTACACAAAAAGCAAAAAAATATTACTATTCATAAATAAAAAATATTAAAAATATATTTTATATTTATTTATAATACAAATCTACTGAGCAACGTGACAAAATCAAAAAGTTACACAAAAAGCAAAAAAATATTACTATTCATAAATAAAAAATATTAAAAATATATTTTATATTTATTTATAATACAAATCTACTGAGCAACATGACCGTCGTTGACCAGGCCATTATATACTTTTTTTGGAGCAAAAAAAAATTCCATACGTAAAGTTTATTAGTTTGATGGTAATATTGGGCCCTTGGGGGCCCACTAAGGGTTCCGTTTTGATAATCCGAACTATTAATATGTAGAACTCGTTGAGTAATATATGCCTGTAAAAAATCACATTGATCGGATATCATTAACTACATGATCAAATCAGTTTTGTATAAACAAAACTTTGTATAAACAAAACGGATGGTGTGATAGTTAACTGTTGAAAAAACTAATCCGATCATATAGTTATCGATATCCGATCAACGTGATTTTTTACAGACATATAATAATCGACGATTTGTACATATTAAACGGTTCAAATTATTAAAATGGGACCCATGGTGACCCCCACGGACCGACCATCACTGTCCAAAAGTTATTTGCCCCGACGGAGTTGATTATTTTTCTGTGTAGACATGCTGGGGCAGCTGCAGGCAGCCGTACAATCAATCACCTTTCTTCCACTATACACTTTATTTATATAATTTTTTATTACATATTTTTTCATAAAAAGAAAAAAAGTTAACTCAAACATTTATATTTTTTCCTCAACTTTTTAATTCAAAAAGATAAAAAAAATGCACTTATTTAGGACACCACAAATAACCCCTAATTTCTTAAAAAATTTCCTTTTCTTTTAATAAATTTATAAACAAATACAACATCCGTACGATGTATCATCATGGGTTGAGCCAACACTACTACTATCCCAACGAATCCTGATCTTCGGTCGCCTTTGCCTGTGGCCCTTTCCTGTAGCGCCTCAAAACGACGTCGTTTTGGGGCAACTTTTCAAGAAAAAAAAAAAAAAAAAAACAGAGCAGAAATCAGAAAGGGAAGGGGGAAGAAGAAAGAAAGCAGTGGAGAGGAGCACGGATGAAGCGGATGAAGAAGGACATGAGGCCGGGTTTGTTGGTTTTCTTTTTCCTCTTCTTCTTTCTTATTCTTCTTCTTCTTCCTGGTTTGCCTGCCATCTTCTTCCCTCTTTCTCTCATTTTTGAGTTTTTTTTTTTTTTTTTTTTTTCCAATAAGGGTTTTTTTTTTTTTTTCCCATGAAAAGTTGCCCCAAAACGAGCTAGGAAAAAAGGAAAAAAAAAAATTCCTCCTGTGATAGCCATCTTCTTCCCTCTTTCTCTCTGTTTCTGAGTTTTTTTTTTTTTTTCCCATGAAAAGTTGCCCCAAAACGACCTAGGAAAAAAGGAAAAAAAAAAATTCCTCCTGTGATAGCCATCTTCTTCCCTCTTTCTCTCTGTTTCTGAGTTTGTTTGTTTGTTTTTTTTTTTTCATGAAAAGTTGGCCCAAAACGACCCAGAAAAAAAGGAAAAAAAAAAATTTCCTCTTGTGATAGCCATCTTCTTCCTTCTTTCTCTCTGTTTCTGAGTTTGTTTTTTTTTTTTTTTTCATGAAAAGTTGCCCCAAAACGACCCAGAAAAAAAGGAAAAATTTCAATTAAAAATTTTCCTCCTGTGTTCGACGCCATTAATGGGTTCTTCCCTCTATTCTTCTTTTTTCCATTTTTTTTTTCTTGAAAAGTTGTCCAAAACGACGTCGTTTTTGGGCGCTACAGGAAAGGGCCACAGGCAAAGGCGACTGAAGATCCGGATTCCTATCCCAACACCACATCCCATTACTACTAGTATCATCTCGATACCACCGCTGCTATCACAAACCAAGTGCAAATAATTTTAAAATTGTAACTAAACACAATAAAAATTTGGATGAATTATGTAAATAGTTCTTATAATTTACACGATGTGTTAATGGTCCCTATAATTTTAATTTGCTCGATTTTGTCCCTTAATTTAACGGATTGTGTTATTTTAATCCAATAAATAACGGTTGTTAAGTTAATTTAATGGAAGGTCAAACAATGTGTCAATTTAATTTTTGTACTTTACACGATGTGTCAATTTATTTTTTAGATTTTGATATGGACTAAATTGATACATTATGAAAAATACAGGGATTAAATTGACACATTGTTTGACTTTCAGTTAAATTAACTTAACAACCATTATTTATTGGACTAAAATGACACAATCCATTAAATTAAAAGGTAAAATCGAGTAAATTAAAACTACAAGAATCAAATTCACACATCATATAAACTATAAAGACTATTTGTGTAATTTTTCCTAAAAATTTTATGTGACAAATTTTTTATTCAAACAAAGGCTACATGAATTTTGTAATTTCTTGCCCAATATCTATTTACAAAACTAATACTTGTATCCATTTTGAACATGTAATCATCTCCTCCAAACAGGCACCTAACTTGTTGCCCTGCATAGATTCACTCCCTATCCAGCCTTGCCTTGCCTTGCCTTAAACTAAACTGGAGTGCTTGTTGAAAACCGATAAGTACTCAGACAATGTCTGCTGATTCTGGGTTTCTCTGACAATTATTGGGTTCTCAGTGGGAACCGCCGTGATTCGACGTGGCGGCGGAGGCGATCTTGGCGGAGACGAGTGGAGGACGGCGGCCTCCAGCACCTCTCGCCGGACAGTTTCTTGCTTTTCCAACAACCATTGCGCGCGCAAAGCTGTTATGTATAAACCGGCAAAGAGGAAGACGGTGATGAGCCCAAACACTCCAGCGGTGGAGAACAGGCCTTCCATGACGGTCAGGCAACCGGTTCGCGGTGTTGACCAATCTTTCAGGTGACCTGATTCCACGCTAAGACCTATCAACAGCATTATCTCTCCAACAGCAAAAAATATCCTACAAAAAATTAACGAGATTCAAAATGTGTTTAAGTTTCATTTGTTTACTTAACAAGTTGAATCAATGTTGAATGAGTTTTTAACAGCATAATAACAAAGTTTGCTTGATTTGTGTTACAACTTTAATTCTGGTGATGTTTGGTTAACATTTTGGAAGCATTTTTCCTACTTTATAAATTCAAATCAAACCTTTGCTTTTTAGTTGCTGAAAGTAATTGGAAAAGAAATTCAAAGATGTAAATCAAGTAAAGGGGAACTCGATGCATGGATCTCTTGTTCATATGAGTCTGAGAAAGATAAGGTATACACAATCTTATTCCTGACATCACAAATGATGTTTTCGTATTTTGAAATCGTAACACTACTTATTATAATAGAGCTAACAAGGCCTATCCTTAGATATTAACCGAATTATGTCTTAAATTATTCAAATCCTAAAGATATCTCAAATTACTAAACATATTTGCATGAACCCCCAATTCACATGTGGGTTTAGGCAAACAAAATTTGAAAAAATTAAGAATGTAATTGAATGTGTCATACCAAGTTGTAATGAAGAAAAAACCAGCTTGCCAAGTGAGAGACTTGCCAGGGCCAGAGTCAGGGTCCCAAGTCACCAAAGCCGGTGGTGGTGATTGACTCACAGCCACCATCATGTAAGCATGAGCCACTACCATGCCAATGGCTAATCCCAAAAATGCCCCCGCCGCGCACAGCAATGGCGTCTTCCCGCTACCGCTGTATGTGCATTCATGCCCCTTTCCTTCCCATGCCACCTGCAAAATTGACACACTTTCTACAATTATGATCGAAAAAATGTTGATGATTGGTCGCTGGAGGTCAGAGTATTACCTCAGAGCGTGTGGCTTCGGCAATGAGACAGAAGATGAAACAGGAGAGGCCGAAGAGGATCGACAAGACTATGACGAAGGCACCTGTCTTGCTGCCAAGTTCCGTACTTCGACGGCCCGGTGCTAGATCAGCATGTGTCACTGCCATTGTTGCTGATGCTCAAATGTAGGCTTAACATGAAAATGGTAGAAGAGGAATTGGGTTTTAGTTTGTGAGAGAGAGAGAGGGAGAGAGAGAGAGAATTGCTTGGAACAAAGGTTGCTTAAAGGGTAGAGATTCCAAGAGGGGGGTGGGGGTGGGGGTGTGGTGAAATTTCACACAAGGAATTAGGCTTTTGAGTTTTTAAATTTGATTGCTTTTAGGTGCATTGATGATTAAAACAAAAAGGAATTTTTCAGCTAATTGTAGATAAAGTTAGTGTTGATGATGAGGCCATATAGGTATATACTTTAGACAATTTGATAGTTTTAAACATGGATGTTGTGTAAACTATACCACATAATTTATTCTAGAGGTAACACTCAATTATCGAAATTTTCTGTTTTTGAAAACATAAAGAAACAAAAACAAAAATACAAAACAGCAAAGACACACAACATGGACATATCCAGATGAATGTATCAAGATGGGTAAATCTTCTTGGATGGCCATTCTTGGCAAGTTCTATGGACAGGCTCTGTATATCATCATCAAATACTTGATTTGATGGTACAAATCTCACAACTTACAACCAATATGACATATATAGATGGGTTAACTAATCAAGTTTAGTGATCACATTATAGGTCAGGTTTTGAATGCACCTAAACTTTGATGTTTTAACGCATCCCAACCTCAAACATGTAAAATGGGTGAAGAAAGCTTAGGAAAAAAGGTTAAGAGTGCAACCCCATAAGACAATTTAAAGAATTGGCAATTATAAATATCAGATCGACTTCAGTAAAAGTCTGTCTTCAATTGTACGATAGTCATAAAAACTCAATATGTATTATGTTAAATTTGACACGATCATGACAAATTTTAACACAATTGAAATAACTCGATCTGATGGAAATATTTTAAGTTTGTGCAAGACGATTCTTTAATGGTTAAAAATGTTTGATTTTCTACATCTTTTAATTTATTTATTTTTTAAAAAAAACCTAATTAAAGAGTCAAAATAGCAATCACTGTGTTTGGTTTTAATTTTTTGAAAATTAAGTTTTTTGTTTTTCTTGTTTTTCTTGTTTTTAGTAAATATTTTTAAAATTTTAAGCATTTTTTTTTAGATGCACCTTACTTAGATGTATCTAAAAAATAAAATATTTGTGAAAAAATATTTTAAAAAATTAATAAATACACAAAAATACAAAAAATATACTAAATTTTCATTTTTTTTTTGTATTTTTGGTATTTAGTAAATTTTTTAAAGATTTTTTTCATGGAAATTATACTTTTTAAGTGTATATTAAAAAAATTCAATAAAAATATGAAAAATAAAAAATAAAAAATAGAATTTTCTTAAAAGTGCTTTCAAAAAACTGAAAATAAACGTGATGAATATTTTTTTACAAGCTCTTGGATTCAAGAAACAAAATATGGATAATTTATTGGATGCATCTTTGTTTTCTTGATACACAAAACAATTAAAAACTTCTTGTGTGGACAAGAATTCCCCACTCAGGCAGGCTTATTGGGCCGCACCTAGCTTGCCTAGTCCATTATGGAATTAGTTGCTTGATGTATAACTGGGCTAAGATTCTGGGCCATCCGGATTTGTTATTTCTTTTGCCTGGATAGGATATATTTTTATTATTCAGTTTTTATATTTTTGTTGTGTGGATGATTCTATTGGTATCCAAATAATAACTCACGACTCGTTTCGGAATAGGTTTTTTTAATAATTTTTTAATTTTTTAGTTAAAATGTGATGTAAAACTAATATGCTTGAGATGAGTTTTTGGATTTTTACGAAAAGATGTGCAAAAAGTAGAAAAAAAAAGGAATTTTGACTTTTTAGTATGAGTTGTTGGTTTTTTGGTTTTTTTAGTAACTTTTTGGCTAAAAAAGTCACTTGCCAAACGAGGCCTACGTCTAATAAAAATTTCGAACTTTTAATTCTTATTGAAAAAACTAAAAAAAAAAATTATGTGCAATTTTTTTTTTTTTTGAAAAATTTGAAAAAACTGAAAATTATTTTTGTACAAAATTGAAAATTTTGTGTCTATAAAAAAACATGATGATGGAATATTGATTTGCAAAATTGAAAATCAATAAATAAATAAATAACTTTAAAAATGAAAAAACTGATAATGTTCTTGGTTTTATTGAATGGTTGAATCAAACCAATAAGTAGAAGGGCAAAAACATTTAATCTCATGCTCTGTTTTTTTATCAGTTAATGAAACAATTATCTAGAACATTACTATGCAATATTGATAATATTTATAGTTCGAAAAATTGAAAAAAACTGATAATATTCTTAGTTTTGTTAAATAGGACTTATTGGTTCAAAAAATCTTAGATAGGATTTGAGTTACCATAATATTTGTAAATAGAACTTTTAAATAATTAACTCTCATTTTTTTCTCATGATATACCCAAATCACTTATATGTATTCTTCATATTCAATGTTCTTCATCTTTTTTCCCAAATTTCAATTGTTTTCTCTTCATCTTTTTCCTCAGTCCAAAGCTCCAATCCATTCCATCAAAACTTACAATTATCATTATTTCTTATTGTGTTGTTACCTACAAATAGAACAAAACAAGAACAGAATAATATGTGTCATTATAAAAATAAAAATAAAAAATCTGGGAATTGTCAAGAACATAATAATTTTTTTATTCAATTAATCAAATCGAAAAATAAGTAATGTCTCGTTCAATTAATCAAACATCAACTAGTATTATCCTGGAAAGCTTTAGTTCTTGGGAATTGTTAGATGGTCATTTAGAGATGTCATGGAGGTTCAACAACAAAAGTGTTTTTCAATCTTTATGGAATTATCATAGGGTTTTTCAACAAAGTGTTTCATGAAGTTATCACTAATATAATAGGAACACATATAAGTAAATATGATGCCATATAGAATAACGCATGCCAATCGTTCTTTGAATGTGAATAAAATGAATATTTGTAATGATAAATTTATTTAAGGGTTTATGAATGAATTTTTCAAATTGGTGTAATTTAGAATTTTTGATTTGTTTATTATTTGGGTGTTTTTTGAAGGGTAATTTGGTTGTATTTTGAAGGGTAATTTGTGAAAAAGCATAAGGTGTATTGAAAATAAATTATAACCCTAAATAATTTAATAGAATGTACTGAAAAATTAGACATGCTTAATAATTTTTTAGGTACAAATAAAATTTCCTGTATTATGTTTGTAGAGGGTCAAAAATTAAGCCCCAAACTAAGTATGGACCTAAGCACTGAGGTCGCCCCAAAAAGGCGACCAGAGATAAAAAAAGGAGCATGGGCCAAAACCCAAGGGAAATGGGCCAAGATTGGGCCGAGACAGATCAACCCACCAAGGCTCCAGATGGACTTCACGAAGAAAAATGCCCAAGTCAAGTTGCAGAGGCAACACCTACAGCGGTGAAGTTGCGAAGGAAACATGTGCAGCGGCAAAGTTGCTAAGGCACTTTGCCTCAGCGCCGCCATTCCTAATATCTTCGGTTCCGCCGCCATCTGAAGTTACTAAGGAAAAGAGAAAGCCGACTCAACTAAGTTGTAAAGACAACACTTGCGACGACCAAGTTGGGAAGAGTGCCGCCATTCCAAGTATCTTTGGCATCGCTGCCTAGGGGTGGGCGCGGGTCGGTTGCGGCCACGAAACTCCAATCCGCCATCCATCTGCCAGATTGGCGGATTGAAGAAAATCAATCTGCATCCGTCTGCCAATTCGGCAGATGTGGATTGAGCAGATTGGCGGTTTGGCAGATGGATGCGAATCAGTTTGGCGGTTTAAAATTTTTAAATTTTTAACATAATTCAACTTGTGCACTTCCTTAAAAAAAAAAGAAAAAAAAAAGTATTACAGTCAATGACTTAAAAAAGTATTACAATCACTGTATGTCTTATCTAAAGAAAGAAAGTTTAAAACTTTAGAATATCACGATCACTGCATGTCTCATCTACATATTACAATCACAGCATGATTTATTCACATAAAGTATTACAATCTGTGGTTCTTAAAATATAATAACAATTCAAACCACCAAGACCATGAACAGAGTAGTAGTAGAGATTGCATGTCTCTGTATTGTTACATCTATATATGTTTTTGAAAACAAAAGACAACCAGCATATATCATATTTTCTATTTATTATTTTTAAAGTTAGATTTAAAAACTAAAAAATATAGATAAATAATACGTTTATTTTTTTCAATTCAAAAAATATATTCAAGTTGAAAACTTTTTTTCAACATAATATTTAAACTCTTTTTCAATTGAAAACACAAACATAATATTTAAACAAATTGAAAACACAAAATCTTTTAAATTACTAGGGGTGCTCTCGGTTTGGCGATTCGGTTACGGCCAAAGAAATCTCAAATCTGCCATCTGTTTGCCAAATTGGCGGATTGGAGAAAATCAATCCGCAACCGTCCGCTCGTCATCACGCATCCATCCAAAATGCGGCGGATCGGTTCAGTTCGGTCGGTTTTGGCGGATCGGTATATCCGCTGCTCACCCTACCGCCGCCATTCCAAGTAATGTCGGTGCAACAACCATCTGGAATTGCTGAAGGAATGAGAAAACCGAAGCAACTAAGTTCCAGAGGCAATACTTGTAGCGCCCAAGTTGCGGAGGCATTCTGTCAGCGCCGCTATCTGTAATATCTTCAGTCTTGTCGTCTGAACTTGCCACGGGAAATGACTACCGCAGCAACTACGTTGCGGAGGGAATATCCTGCCAAGGTAATAATAGACTTTGAAAGAGGCCTCCCTCTGCAAGTAAAGGCTAATGCTTAACGCTGATAGCAGGCCCAAAGGCATCACTAGCCTAGGGCTGATAGCAGACCCCAAAGTTTATTAACCTGGCGCTAATAGCAAGCCCAGAGATACTAGTTTACCGCGGCAATCTCGCGAAGATGAGAGCAGAGTAGCCCGAACATAAGGGACTCCTTTTCCATTACCCAGGTTATGGACCTGCCTTAGTCGCACAGGCATGACTAAGGAAGCCCCATTGGGCTTGGTACTAAGGCACAGCATGGCTAATAACAGGCTTAGCTGTGGCCTTCACCCTGGGAAGTTGGAGAATTTGTGGTTAGGTGGCTGAGGGTGGAGGT